TGAAGGGGTACTCCAATTGCCTCACCCTGTGTCCCTGTTCAGCATGGAAGAAGCCAGAGCAGTCTGTGTCCCTATTCCCTATTGGCAATCTGGGTAACCCCTTCAGAGGATGGTGTGGTAAGAATAGGAGGTAGGAATTGGCTAGGTAGTTAGGGTAAACCCAGGTCCTTGCAAGATTAGCAAGTGCTCTTAACCTCTGAGCCGTCTCTGCCCTCTTCTCTGCTCCTTTCTTCCCTAAAACATATGTTCATGGAGTGTAGAACTCAGGGTGGATAGGTTTTCTCTCAGTCCATGGGAAGTCTCGTCCACCTGCCATGTTCTCAGAGAACCCACCTGTCCCCACCACTCCCTTCTCCTCTGCAAGTAAGATCACACTACTTTCAAGATCTTTTTCTTATTTACAGTTTTCAGAAATTTGACTATGATGTAAAATTCCGAGGGTCTTCCCTTTGGGGGCTACACTGGCCCCTTAAGGCTCTAGTTTCACACCTTTAGAGAATTAGATGTTTTAAGAGACTCTTCAGTTTGCCTCCTCTCCTGCAACTGCAGCATCACCACAGTGAGGTCTTCCGCCCCTTTCCCCCTGGCTGTTGTTACCTCTTCTCTCTCTCTTCCTCAGAGGGACTCTTCTATACTGTCCTCTGTTCAAATCCTGTCCTCCACCTTCTTCACTCTGTTCTTCATACATGAGGCTTTTATTTCCTCTATTGCATTGTATTTGGTTTCCTTTGGCCTTGGGGGTTTGTGTTGTGGCTGGAGACAGAGTCACTCTACGTGTGCCCACTGGCCTGGAACTCACTGTATAGACCAGGGTGGCCTCTAATTCAAAGAGCTCCACCTGCTTCTGCCTTCTGGGTGCTTAAAGGGATGTGCCACCACCCCGACTCCTCTTTATCTCTTTTATTTCTTTTCTAAAGTCTTTGATAATTTTTTCCCCTTATTTTGAAGCAGTTTAGTGAGACCTATTTTCAGAGCTCGGACCTTCCATTTCAATACTGGTATTTTCTTGCTTCTTTTAGCTTTTGGTTTTTAAATTGAAATCTGAACATTTTAGATATTATGTAATGAGTTTTGGATCTTACTCAAACCTGTCTTAGCCAACTTCCTCTGACATTAGCCGTGGAGAACTTAGTGAAAGAGTGCTGTGGCTACTGGTGTGATAGGAGCTCAGGTTTCCCAATAGTCTAGTATCCAAATGACCCGTGCTCGGAAGGGTCAGAGAGACATTTCTTCTACAGCCTTTGTTGACATTGTAGAAGGAACAGGCCTTGTTACCACACAGACACCATGCTGTGCTCTTTCCTCCACTGAACAACTCAGTATCGGTCAGCAAAATCGGAAGTTGAGGACCCCCCCCCCTTGTTGACAGGTGAGACAGGTGTGGGGCACAGGCCATAGGTTTTTCCTGAAGTAGTGAAGTTGGTATCTAACAGATTTTTCTGTTGCTAAGTTACCCCTTTCGTGGTCCTTGGTTAGAGAGTAGCCTTTGGTTGGGACTTGTCATGTCTAAGCCCTGGTACTTCCTGGTTATTGGCTTCCTGGTTCCAAGTCCGGCAGTAAAAAGAAAGTACAGGAGACTCAGCAGCATGTTCCTCCCGGACCCTGAGTCCCAGGGGGGCCAATCACCCTTTTCTCTTTGTCTTACAGAGGCTCCTGTGTTACCCTATGCGGAATAGTCAGGATTTCAGTTGTATTCAGAAGGAAGAGTAGGGAAAGTACATGTACTTCTATCCAGAGGCAGACATCTCTCAACAGCAGCTTAACAGATACCTGAGTACACCTGACCCAGGCTGGGCTTGATCTCTGCCCAATAAATGCTGTTTTATAGCAAACAAGTAAAAAGACCATGTTTCTTTCCACATATACAACTTGGACTTGGAGGGAAACAGTGAGGGCAAAGAGACAGAGGATCACAGCTGTGAGCAGTGATTTGACCAACCTCCCCATACCTGGGTAACTTCCCACACTATGTGTCTCATCCTGGAGTGGATTCTAGAAGATCCACAGCCCACACAGCCTCTTTTCTTTTCTATTTACTTATTTATTTTAAATTTGTTTTTATTGAATTTCTGTGTATTTCATACAGACCATTTCAAACAATCTTAATCATCTTTATGCCCCGCCCCCACTGGACTCTGTCGTCCGTGTTAAGGCCCACTGTGTCAAGTCAGTGTCCCTAGATGTTCCCCAGTGCAAGTCCATCCACTGAGGTCTAGTCAGCCTGTCTAGAGCTTGTCTTTTTTTATATTTTATCATTTTTATTTTATGTGTATGAGTGTATTGCTTGCATGCATGTGAGTGCATCTGTGTCATGCAATGCCTGCAGGATGTCAGATTCCCTGGAACTGGAGTTACAGATGGTTGCTAGCTACCATGTGGGTGCTGGGAACCAAACCCAGGTCCTTGCAAGAGCAACCAGTGCTCTTAACTGCTGAGCATCTCTCCAGCCCCACAAGCCTGTTTTCCGACTCAGACACTGAATCTTGTGTCTGCTGTCCCAGTGGAGATCTGGCCTTGGTGATGAGGAACAAACCACAAGCAGGGTTTCCAGTCTTCTGGAAATCAAGAGACATTTGGCTTTTTCTCCAAGTGCACCCCAAAAGAAGGACCTAGCATTAAGTCCTAGGGGAGGGTTTCCATTAGACTAGGTAGGTCAAAGCGACCCATCTCTACTTGGACATAGCCATTATTTGTAGAATCTCAATCAAAAGCACCTTTTAGTGCCCAATTAAATGTTTATATATATTTAAATATTGAATAATGAATAATTTTTATTATTATTCAACAATAATAAAAATTTTATTCAAACAAGTTGATTAAACTTTGATTCAAACAAGTCAAAACAATTTATTCTTTTATTCAAACAAGTTGATTCTTTGGGAGAAACTTGGAATATTGACTGATGAACTTGGCTAATTTAACCAGAACAAGATAGACAAAAACACATGTAGTTTATAAGTTTTATGGTTTGCAAATCTTGAAGGAACTAGAACTCTGATCACACCCTCTTACCTGCTCTTGAGGTGGTGACCTGAACTCCTTGGTTTTCCTGGCAGTGAGTGCGGCGGACATGTTTAAGGCTTGCATAACTTCATTATATCTGAAACGCTGATTGTCTTGGAGCTGAGCCACAAAGTCATCTGAGAAGGCTACGACGGCCTCTATCCGATGCCGGACCTGGCAGTCACAGAGGTACTGAAGCAAGAGGCACATCTAAGAAGATAATTTTAAAAACATAAAATTGATAGTTAACGTGTATCATGTCATGGTCAATGTTAAATACGCTTAATTGTCTATTCTCCCTGAAACACAGAATCCTAACACATTATTGGCAGAAATGTGTTTGGTCAACATGGTGTATCTAAGCCAGGGGTAGATGCGTATCCTCTGAGCAGGTAATTATCCAGAGAGCCTACTTTGCAGCCACAGGCAGGGTGGCCAATGAATAAATAAGGAAGCGTTTGCAAAGGAAAGTCTGAACCATTAACAAGGTTGACCATCACAGAGCAGAAAGATAGCACTGAATTCCTGGACCAGTTCCGTAACTCTAACGGTTGTATGCAGGTCGATTACGGGGTGAAAGTTTGCTCATTACGTAGCTAGATGGATGATTTCTTAGGGGATGCCGGGTGGATTTTAACTAGCAGAGTATTTGTTTAGAATTGTGTTTATAAGAATATGAATCTAAGTTTAGGTTAACACATGTAATACTGCCTGTGACATAAACACACAGTGGTGCCAAAGAGGACTTCAAACCCCACAGGGCACAGTCTGTAGTGTAATTATTGCTGTCGATGATGATTCTTCCTCCACGCCTTTTGTTCAAGTGAAGCACCATCTCCTCAGGTCTGGACCGGTCTCACAGCCTGTTGAAGCACCAGACCCTGACCCTGCCTCCTCTGTTTTCCTAAGAGCAGATACCCTGGCCTCTCCAGCCTCAGGGTCCACGCTGGGTGATGCTCTGTGTGTGAAGCTCCCAGGACACTACCCACACCCTCTGCTCTCTCTTACTGAACTCCAGCCCGTCTACCCACCTCATATTAAAAATCACCATCCCCAAGAGGCTCTCCCTACACTTTATGACAGTAATCCAAATGCTTTTTCTTCTGATGATTTATTCTTTTACTTCAGACTTCTTGATGCAGTAAGTAATGAGTATTTAAAAACAAATCCACAAACAGGTGCAAATTCCCCAAGAATATAGGCTTCTGGAAGGCAGAGCTCACATCTGTTTCCTTCTTTCTGCCCAAAGCACATGGTCCAAGATGCGCATCACTGCTGATTGAAGGATGAAAACAAGCATACTAATGACTCAAATGTCAAACTGACTAATGGACTGAAGCGGCCTGAAGAAAACACCGTCCAGATACTGTGACGGATACTGTGATTTCTTAGGAACATGCTACAGGAGTGTTGTGGTTTAAACAAGAAATGCTTCACAGTGTTTGAACACGTGGTCCCCTGTTAGTGGCACTGCTTGGGGAGGTTATGAAACCTTTAGGAGGTGTAGCCGTGCTGGAGGAGGCACATCCCTGAGGGCTGTGACAGTTCATAGCCTCCTAACATGTATAAGTTCCAAACTGCTTGGCTAGGGTCATCTGCAAGTGACAGTCTTTGCTTTAACATTTTGCCCACGTCCAGTTCTCTCTGCTTTCTGCATGCTGGTGAGATGTGCTCTCTCAGCTTCCTGCTCTGGCGCCTGCCCATACTTCCCCTTCTGTTAGGCTCTCCCTCTGGAACCCTAATAAACCCCAAATAAACCCTTTCTTCTTTAAGATGTCTGTAATCCTGGTATTTTATCACAGCAACAGAAAAGTCACCAGTACAGGGAACAAACTGGCTTTCTAAGTCGGAGTGTGTGACTGAGCTGTTCTAAAAAAACAGCAGAAGAGATGAGGGGAGGGACCACGGTTGTGCCTCAGATTCACACAACTGAACAGTAGATGGGTGAAGCCCTTCTGCAGAAACAGGTGCGGAGAAACCAAGAAATTGCTAGTGAACTGTTGGCAAGGGAGAGGAATGGAAGAAAGCTAGGCTATGAGAACTAGAGGACAGAGGAAGGCAGGGGCATTGTGGCACTTTAACTTGGCAATTCTGAAACGCCCTCCAAGTGTTTTCTAGTTACCTGCAGTTTAACCGGCTCGGGCAGTTTCATTTGGAGTAGGCCTTCCTTGGGCCTCTTTCCTCCTTTGATTTCTTCTTCACCCTCTCCATCCTGCTTGGAGTCTTCCACGCTGAGCTCCTTCTCCAGCGTGCCTCCTTCCTCCTCCCCAGGGGCAGCCTCCTTAAACACGCTGGGCTCGATCAACTGCAAGATGTGCTTCAAATCCTCGTTGTGGAAGACTCCCATGATGAGCAGGGTGTAGAAGAGTTTGATGAGAGGCACAAAGAGGAACTCCGTGGTCCCACCCACAGGGTCCCGCGCGTGCAGGCCCCCCTCCCTCACCGCCTCTGTCAGCATTTGGATGGTCTTGGCCTTTAGGATATCCAGTGGAAACTCAGGGCTGTACTGGCAACATTCACTGCTGATGCTCACGAAGCTTGGGGAGGAAAACCGCATTCGAGGCCGGAGGGAGGTGCTGAGGCCGATGCCCGGGAGGCCATGCTTCTTGTTCTCATCCGGGAAGAGGGTGATGCTCTTGGTCTCCTCTGTCATGGGGACGATGAATTCGCTGTTCATCATGAGCCTGGCCGTGGCGTAGGAGCTGAGGTGGATGTCGATCAGCAGGTCGTAGTAGCCAGTGCGCAGCAGGCCAGGCATGTACTTGTTCTCGATGGCATAAAGCAGCTGAGGTTCATCCACGTGGCTGCACAGTGCGTGTGCCACCCGGTGGTTCCCCAGGGCACAGACGGCGGAGTAGAGCCGGAGGGTGTGGTAGTGAAATTTCAGCAACTCCTCCTGCTCAGTCAACTCTAAGATATCAACCGATCTGTGGAAGGGAAGAGGAGAGAGAGCGGAAGATCAGAAGCAGACCATTTAAATAGTATGTGCCCGTGCCATACATTTCCACAGGTGATGGGACAGTCACCAACTTCTTTTCTTTTCTGATATTTCATGGCTTCAAAATATTTGTGAGCCACTTCTGGTGTTTTAAACTTTTTTCTCCCTTATAGAATTGAACTCATGCTTTCAACCATGAGTTCATCGAAGCTCTCCATCCTCCATGGTAGGAAGGCACTGGGCACCTCTTACAGATAAGTGTGTCTCAACCTGAGCCTGGGACACCCCCCTCCCCCACTTTCAGAGCCTGAGGACTCTGAGAATCCAGACCTCCTCTTCCAACAGGCTAACATGATTCAAGAAACCAGAAAGCTTTGCCTTGGACCATGCATGGGGCCACTGTCTCTGCACTGTGACTCTGACAGGTCAGGAGTAGGAGAACAGAATGCCTGTCCTTTAGTGTAAATTAGCCTCACCCATCCTGTATGGACTCCAACATCACCAGCCGAAGCTGCCTGTTCCCCCAAGGACATGTATGTAGCTCAGAAAACAAGCAATGTGAATGGTATCTTCCTCCTACCAAAATGAAAGGATAACTCCCTGGACTCGATTTTTTTATTTATCTATTATTTGAAAATTTCATACAGGGATACAATGTATTTTGATGATCTGCTCCCACTGTCCCCAACTTCCCCCCAAACTACCCCTTTGTTCCCCTTCCAACTTCATACACTTTTTTCCCTTTATAACACACTGAGTCCAATTAGTATTGCCCAGGTGCACAGGAGCGTGGGACACCCACCAGAGCACAGGCCTGTGACAGGTGGCACCCCTGAAGAAAACAAAGTCTCCTTCCCCTTCAACCAGGTGCAAATAGTTCTCAGCTAGGCGTGGAGCTCCGGGAGCCCCTCCCCATCCACTCTGTAACGGCAACTAGCTTGACCTTGTGCAGGTCTTGTGCAGGCTTCCACAGCTGTCATGAGTTCGAGCCTGCGACAGCCTGCTGTGCTCAAAAGACAC